ACGCTCTGGAATCTGGATTGTTGAACTTGAGCTGGTGTGTACGTGTACATATATAGTGCCTTCCCTGCGATGGAATAGTTGGGCGTGATATGTGAAGCCGATTTATCGGCAGTGATCCAGATGCTCTACAAATTTTGGCATGTAGATTTTCCATTTTTCTGTCACACATTAGCTGTCGATGGGGAAGGCGTAGGTGAAAACATCTAGGCCCTAGTTGGGTTTCGGTGATTAATGATGACACGGGATTACTATGACTAACGTGTGTTTTGCAGAGGCAATTTGAGTTAGGTCATGGTAATAGAAATTGATTAGTCAATCATGGTTGTCATGCCCCTGGCGATGCAAATCATTTCGGTTTTCAAAAGATGGACGACAAGGTTAATAACGGATTAGTTTCAAGTGTCGTTTGGTGTTGGAGAGACACTTAGAGTAGTTTAGGACTTTGTTTTTCCTTTGGCCGAACTATTAAGGGGGTATGGACTAGTAGCTTGACCTAGGTGAGTCTAGTGAGTTAGGTGTGGTGCACACTTATCAAATCTAGCATTAGGTAGCTCAGGAATAGCCCTAAGATCAATTGGAGTCAACTTCATTCACATAGGATTTCGAGTTGGAAGTGAATGAAGGGTCAAATGACTGACCGGACGCTGGAGGGTGAGTCCGGTCAGTTCATTTGAACAACTACAATCGTCTGGTACTAACCGGACGCTGAGTGGAGGAGCACCGGACGCTGGGTGCCTGCGTCCGGTCAACTCCAGAGAGGCTTTTGCTTGACCGGACGCGTCCGGTAGGCACTGACCCAACGCTGGGGTGTCTGCGTCCGATCAACTCCAGTAAGGTTCCAGAAAGGGTTTTTCTTGATCGGACGCGTCCGGTTGGTGCTGACCAGACACTGGTCAGAGTCCGGTCAGAACTTAACGGCTCTTTCTGACATAGTGGAGGGCATAACTAACCGGAGCGTCCGGTCACCCTGACCGGAGCGTTCGGTCAGCCCGCAGGGTGATGACTCAGCCTCTAAACGTTATGTTTTGAATGACGGGGTATAAATACTTACTCCACTCATCCATAGGAGGTCTCCTGCCCATTTGTTCAGCTAAGAAACATCTTTAGAGTGTAAGGGAGAACAAGAGCCCAGTGAGGTGATTGAGATTTGAGAATCCAAGATTAAGGACCTCATTAGTGCATAGGGAGTAGCAAGTGTGTATCCATCTTTCTCATTAGGCTTGTCTTGGTCAAGTGAGAGTTTGTGCTTGTTACTCTTGGTGATCGTCATCATCTAGACGGCTTGGTAGTGATTGGGAGCTTGGTGATCATCCGACGGAGCTTGTGGATGACCCAAGTCATGTTGTGAGCGGTTGTGGGCGATTCACCGCGACGGAATGTCAAAGAATCAGCTCGTAGAGAGCACTTGATCCTTACGCGGATCGAGGGGGAGCTACATCCTTGCGCGGGTGCTCCAACGAGGACTAGTGGGGAGTGACGACTCTCCGATACCTCGAGAAAACATCGCCGTGTTCCTTTTCCTCTTTTTAATTTGAACATTTACATTTGAACAATTCATTTCATGTCTTTATATTCCTAAAATTGCCATGCTAGAGTAGGATTGGAACCTGAGGTGTAAAACTTTTGTGCGGTAGAACAATAGAGACACATTCTAGGCACAAGAGGTGAAGTGGGCTAAGTGTAGAACTTAATTATTGCATAAAATTTAGAATTAGCTTAATTCACCTCTTTTTTTGGATATCTTGATTCTTTCAGTAGGGATGTCAGAACCTGAATATGACTAAGATAAATACCTAAGGGTCAGTATGTTCCTGCAGTGTTATTTTTTGCTCGAGTGAAGCTCCATCGCTGATATATTGTTGCTTTTTCATACACTATCTGTTTTATGCTTCTAGTTTAGTTGCCTTTGTGCCACACACATGAAACAACTAGTCGTGGTATGAACACATGACGACAGGGAACTAATACATTGCTACGAAATTATGAATTATTCGGACCTTCCGTGACCCTCCCCCACTCTCGTAGCACATAATCCTGCAAAACAAATGTCCTACTCATTAGACGCATAAAATAAACATGCGTAGTATGTCTTAGCATCCGGATTCTTAAAACCACTGCGGATCCGAATGTTGCCTTAAAATCCCTATAGATCCAAACACTATCTAAATTGTTTGAATAGACTTGACGACGACTTAGATGGGAGTGTCCTATGGACACTGTCTAAATTATTTGAATAGTTAGACTTGATGTCTTAGGATGGGAGTGTGACAAGATTTGATGTGATGTAACAGACTTGAGTGGAGCCTGTTGCATCACATCAAGTCTTGTCACTCTAATTCAAGTCATAAGTCTAGCTATTCAAACAATATATATAGTGTTCATAGGGCCCTTCCATTCCAAGTCATCAAGACATCAAGTCTAGCCATTCAAACAAATTTTTTTGAGAAAGACACTCAAGAGAGTGTCTCATATTTGATATATATATTAAGAAAAATAATAGCTTGTACAAAACATCATGACACAAAATAACCTCTAAAAAACATGAGTACATTGAAGATCAAAACAGTCATCTTTTTTCCTTTGATTGTATATTGTTAGTCAAAGATTGAAGAATGCACTGAAAAGATAGCAAACGAAAGGGACACTTGCGAACACCCTCGCCATACAAGGCTTTGAAGACCCTAAAATCCACTCACCGCCGACAACGTGATCTAGAACCCACTGAAAGAACATCGGTTGGAGGAACCCTCCAAAACACATAGGCTTACAATCCTTCGCCATCAAGTCAGAGTATTAGAGATGCCAGATCTTGCAATAGAATAGACCAAAAGAAGAGGTCGAAATTGACGTAAAGAAAACCATCTGACTACTTTCCTTGATAAACATATGAACTGCCACCAAGATTTGAAGAGAACCAACAGATCTGACAGACCAAACTCTCATTGATCCTTCACCAACACTAGATCGAACGTCGACGAGGTAGGGAAAGGCTGGAGAGACCTTATTTCATTGCGTCATCGTCCACACCACCTCGTCGATGATGCCAGAAACAAAACCTAAAAGAGCAAGGATCAACGAAAACTAAAACCTACTTAAGGATCCGTAGGGATTTTAAGAATTTGGATAGAAGAAATCTCAAGACCCTATAATCCTATCCAAACACCCTAAGGTCCATTTGGACGTAGATATTGAGAGGGTTGGAATTGAATTGGGTTCAATACCAAAGCAGCCATGGTATTGAAATGGCCACAATTCAAATATCATTGTTTGGATGACCATTGAATTGTTTTTTGGAATCCTAGCAAGTAGCTCAAATCCAATATCTGTTTGGATGCAAAACCATAGAATTGAAACTCTCTCACACCCTGCAGTTAGGACAAGACCCGTCATCGGCGTTCATGGCGGGTGGAGCACGACCCCGTTGGGAGATCGACCGCGGGGGAGACCGACGACGGCATCCATGGCGTGCTTGCCAATAGTAGGGGAGCGAGGCCGCCATGGGGGGAGCTTGACCCCGGCGACTCGCCAACAACAGGCGGAGCGAGCGAGGCTGCCATGGGGGAGCTCGACCCGGGCATGGAGAGCAAGAGGAAGGGGTCGCGAGCAGGAACCACCGGCTGCGCCATGGGGGAGGCCCTGAGGAACCTCCGTGGTCGAGCGGGCGTACTGCTCCCGACACCGGTGCCGGATCTAGGGCCCGCATCATCGGCGGGGGCGCATGGCCAGCAAGAGGGAGGGGTTGCGCGCGAGGCCGCCATGGGGGAGCGAGCTCGCGAGAGAGGGAGCTCGACCAGGCTCTTTTTTCACGGGCGCAGAGCAAGGTCGCGTCGCGTGGGGAAGAAAGGGGAGCGCCGATTCAGATGAATACGGAGGGGGTGGGCTCGTTTTTGCGGGCGAGGCTGCGCAGGTGGACCGAATGCCTCATGGTATTGGAGCCTATTTCCACAGGCCAATACCAAAGCCATCCAAACAATAGAATTATGGGCTACCAATGCCAATTCCAAATTCTAGGCCTAATACCAACATCCAAACGGGTTGTAAGATTCTATGTCATAAATCAAACTTGGACAAGACTGGCCTGACAATGAGGTACCTTGTTTGAAGCAGCAATGATTGGAACAACAGTAAACATGATACAATTCAACACAACAGACAATAGTGGAATGAAAGTAAAGGAAAAAATAAACTAACAGCTCTAATCAGAGCACATTCAGCAAAAGATCCATTCAACAATGTGAATGCCAGGAAAAAAAAATTCAATCCAAGACAATGTTCCCACGAACTCTGTTTAATAAGAAAAAAAAAAGAAGGAAAAAAACCAGTCATCTCTTAATGTCCCCAGATTACGACTCCACATTGAAATTAATAGGTTCCGAAAACTCGCATGAATCTCTATATCAGAGTCCCCGTAGGTTCACAGGTGCAAAAGAAGAGAAGAGAAGACAGCACTGGATCTTCGTCTCATCGTCTGATCCATACAAACAGCATCACTCTTCGTGGAATCCAGCCTGTACAGAAGTAGACAAGTCAACACGTAGTGTTTATTGTTGAACTTGTAGCTGTCCGGATTTGACCAGGAACAGCAGCTAAGCCCTGGAAATTTCTCCTTTCAAAACCTGCCTCCTGTTCGAACTTCAAAGTAGTACAGTTTTAATTAACAACTGATAGACAAATTAAGCAGCAATATGATGCTCAAGAGACCAAATAATGCATAAATCAGATATTAGCAGAAAGGCAGTGCATCATTGACTCCACCTAACCATGTTAAACATATGAGGAGTAACTGGATATGCAGTGATCCTGAATAGATTAGTGTCCTTGGTCACATAAGGACACAACCATAGAGTAGAACGAAGAGTCCTTGGTCAAATATGTTAAACAGACGTGTCCTTCATGCCTAAGGACACATCCATAGAGGAGAATGGAGAAGTGCAACTTGATCTCATAAGACCTCGAGAAGCAGTCCCCTCATCAGGCCAACCATCTGTTCAGACTCAGCCATGGCAACCTTCTTCATGATCCTGCTATTACTATCACTGCTTCCCCTCCACTCGAGTGCCGCGCCTCGCGACACTCTACTCCTGGGATCCTCGCTCTCTGTCGAGGAGCACCAGACCGACGTTCTGCAATCGCCTGAAGGCACTTTTGTCTGCGGCTTCCACAACATCTATGACAGCGCCTTCACCTTCTCGATATGGTACGCCAACTCGGCGAACAAGACGGTCGTCTGGACTGCAAACCGTGGCCGCCCCGTGCATGCCAGGGGGTCGGTGGTCACCCTGCGGAAGGACGGTGCCATGGTTCTCACGGACTACGACGGCGCAGTGGTGTGGCAAGCAGAAGGAGACCTGGCGGGCGTGCAGTACGCCAAGCTCCTGGACACTGGAAACCTAGTTATGGCGAACTCCAGCGGCATGGTTGTGTGGCAGAGCTTCGATTCACCAACAGACACCCTCCTGCCGACCCAACACATCACTTCAACTACGACGCTGATTTCCACCACTCATCTGCATGTTTCAGGTCCCTACATGTTCCATTTCACGGATTCATCGATACTGTCCCTCATTTATGATGATGCCGGTGTCCATGAAATATATTGGCCAAACCCTGACAACGGAGAGTATCAGAATGACAGGAATCGGTATAACAGTACAAGGCTTGGGTTTATAGATGATACTGGCAGTTTTTTTTCAAGTGATTTCGCCAACCAGCAGCCACTTGTTGCCTCTGATGAAGGTGTCGGGATCAAAAGAAGGCTTACTCTGGACCCCGATGGTAATCTCCGACTCTACAGCTTGAATGATTCAGATGGCAGATGGTCGGTTTCCTGGATTGCAGTGTCTCAGCCTTGCAATATTCATGGCTTGTGTGGTCCGAATGGGATCTGCCACTACTTTCCTACACCTACATGCTCTTGCCCACCAGGTTACGTGATGAGCCAACCTGGTAATTGGAGCCAAGGCTGTAGACCTGTAGTAGACATTGTCTGTACTGCTAAGAAAGCGCAACCTGTCAAGTTCTTGCGACTTCCAGGCACCGACTTTTGGGGATCCGATCAGCAGCATGTTGAGCATGTATCCTTGCACGCTTGCAAGAACATATGTAGGAAGGACTGCACCTGCAAAGGCTTTCAGTACCAGCAAGGAACAGGGACATGCTATCCAAAGGCTTTCCTTTATAATGGGAAGGCATACACGGCACCTACAATATCGACGCCCATGATGTATCTCAAGCTACCAGCGGGCGTGAATATTTCAGGTATTTCAGTTCCCCAAACCAATGTGCTTATTTCACCAAGAAAGCAACATCCTGACTGTGGCCAGATGAGCGCATCAACGATGGAACTATTTCCGGAGATTCACAAGTCCAGCCAGGGGGAAGCAAAATGGTTTTACTTCTATGGGTTTGCAGGTTCAATTTTTGTTCTTGAAGCCTTCTTCATTGCATCCGCATGGTGCTTTGTTTTGAGATGGGAGTTAGGAGCATCCGAAATACAAGCAGTTGAGGAAGGCTACAAGGCCTTGACCAGTAATTTCAGAAGATACAGTTATAAAGAGTTGGTTAAAGCAACAAGAAAGTTCAAAGATGAGCTTGGAAAAGGAGGCTCAGGGATTGTCTACAAGGGAGTCTTGGATGACAATCGAGCAGTTGCTGTTAAGATGCTGGAAAACGTAAGGCAATGCGAGGAGGAGTTTCAAGCAGAACTGCGCATAATTGGGAGGATTAATCATATGAATCTAGTAAGGATATGGGGGGTTTGCTCTGAAAGCTCACACAGGATGTTGGTCACCTAGTATATTGAGAATGGATCATTAGCTAATGTCCTATTCAAAGACCACATTCTGCTAGAGTGGAGGCAGAGGTTTAATATTGCGTTAGGCGTGGCAAAGGGTTTGGCTTATCTTCACCATGAATGTCTTGAGTGGGTAATACACTGTGATGTGAAGCCAGAGAACATACTGTTGGATCGGAATCTAGAACCTAAGATTGCTGACTTTGGGTTGGCGAAGCTGCTGAACAGAGGTTCCTCTAACCAGAATGTGTCAAGAGTTCGAGGAACCATAGGTTACATAGCTCCAGAGTGGATCAGCAGCCTCCAGATCACGGCCAAGGTTGACGTGTATAGCTATGGGGTTGTGCTTCTTGAGCTAGTCTTGGGAAGACGAGTTCTCGACATGGCTCTAGCTGCAAATGAGGAGGTGCATAAGGTGCTTAGGAAGTATGTAGCCATGCTAGCTCTTATGTTGGATAAAGAGGAACCCTCTGCAATTGCCGAGGTTGTGGATTGCAGGCTGAGTGGCCAATTCAACTACATGCAGGTAAGAACACTAATCAAATTGGCTGTCTCATGTGTGGATGAAGACAGAAGCAAAAGGCCAACGATGGAATCTATAGTGCAAATGCTCCTTTTAGCTGATGAATCGTGTAGCATGTGCTAGGATGACGTTCTACGTAATGGAGTTGCCCAACAGGTGGAAACATTAAGCAGAATGAGAGCTATTGAAGTATAATTTCTAGCCTTCATTGTGTGGCTGTTTATGTGTATGCTTAAGTACTTTTCTCAAATAATATACGCTTATGTACTGCTATTGACTAAAATTTCTCCAGTCATCTTCTTTGTTTTTTCCTACTATTGATTGCTTTCTGCTAGCACATTTCTTATATAGGTATTGTGCCTGCACTGTTTTCGGTATTTTACTTGAATATGTGCAACCTCTTTTATGAAGCACAAAGCACATCTCTAGGTGAATTGACAAAAAAGAAGGAAAACAGTTGCAGGCATTATAAAAGTAGTTTGAAACTATTCCAGCTATATTCATTTTCATTTTGACACCCAAAAAGAGAGAAGAAAATTCACAATCCAAGCAAATGAAATAATACAATACAAGTACATAATCTGTTATGAGCGAGTTTGCACTCCTTCAGTAGAAAAAAAATAGCTACAGAGTATAAAATCTGGAGGACCAAAATGAAGGGAAACGAAATATGTGAAAGTTCGGTACCAGAAAAAAAAACATGTTGCTGGAAACAAGATCACTATCTAATTAAAGTAAAACAACAGTAAAGTCATGTTTAAACCTATTTTTCCTCTTAAATATAGGCTGGCATATAATTTTCCAAGATTCAAACATGCACAACATGTTAAGATATGCAAGTGGAAAAAACATTGACACAAAATCATCTGTCAGGTAGAACAAGTTTCCTTATATCATATATGTCTCTTGTACAATGTAGATGTGAATGAACTTAATATAAAACTAGAGAAAACCCCACAACTTTGCCACGCGCAACATGTCAATAGGCCATCCGTAGAGCGGGACAGGTGATTTATGTGATTCGTGCTTTGCAAATATCGTTAGTAGTCCATTAATGTATTTTTTATGCTTTGAATAAGATTTGACACTCATGTATGATCGGTGGGGAAGATAGGGTCAAGTCCGTTGCTCTCAAAAATGACCGTGCAATTTTTCAAAAACAGCAAAGCTGGATTGTATGGTTTAAGTTATCTTATAGCAATATGAGAATCAAAGATTTGGTATTGTAAATGCAAAGATTCAGTTACGAGACAAGCAATATATACAGCCAAATATAAAGCTTATAGACTAGCTTTGATGCAAAGCGAAATATAGTTTTTAGATTGTGCAAGAGCTTCTACGATCAAGGGTAAGGGGTTGAGCAGGATGCTACCTTGTTCCTCTTCCTTAGATGACATCATAACAGTGAGGAAATACAGACAACAAAAGATGTATCCTAGGTGTCCCATCCTTGCTTAGCTTTTGTGAACCGACTCAGGTAGCTGTTGGAGAGGTCTGCAAATATACACAGAAAATGAGGAACTGCTTGCATTGAATAATTGCATATAGAGTACTCTTTACCTGCAGAATAGACTGCTGCAATGTCTCTGTAACTCATGTCATCCTTAATAGGGGGAAGCTAAATGATACAGTATAGAACCCTGCTGTTCTGAAAACTTCTTGAAGGTCTACTTTCAGCAAACTTGACTGCTCTGCCCCCTCGGGGACAGCCTGCAATGCGTGAGAGAAATAGATGCATTAGAGGCAACACCTGCATTTGCTCCATTCTGAAGACCAAAAGAGTTAACAGCATCACAGACATTTACTAACTGCTACCTGTTCAGTTATCAGGCTTATACATGCTACTCAGAGAGGACTTTATTTATTTTGTCAAAAGCCCATATGATGAATTTTGTCTATGTAATGACCTTTTTTGCTGAATGTAAATCAGTTACAGTAACTATGCATCAAAACAGTGACCGGCGAAGTGCTTTTAGTATACTGGAAACTCTAAAACTACTTACTATATGCATCACAACAATTTGTAATACAAGTCTATTTAAATAAGCTAACCCTTGCTACATAGATCTCAATAATTTGCAATACAACTCGGTGCACATGATTAGTGCTGTGAATTAGGGGAATTGATATGATAATATATCCAAGTAATTTGGCAAAATCGGGAAGGTTTATACCATACAAAGTTCGCTATGGTGCATAATTGCCTTTTACCATCATTTCAATATGGAGAACAAGAGATGCCAGATTGGTCATGTAGCGTGACAGGTGGCAAGAATGTGAATTTTGGCTCAAACAAAGCACAAAAGAAGGAAGTGTGGACTCACAGGAATGAACCGTTATTAGCAACTGATCAAATTAAGCAAGAGGTTATCAAAGATTGTGTCTCCAGTCCAAAGGAGGAAGCAAAATCGTGGCACACGATATGCTGAGGGAGCTCTGAACTTGTATGAAATAAAAATGAGCACTCTTATGACCATTTCATCAAACACATGACATGCATATTCGTTGGGAGGCCATCAGGCCAAAGCACGGGAGGACAAAAACCAAACTGAACCCACTTCCACTATGATGATCACTTCACCTGCTCGAGTGGGAGGAGATGGACGCCCGGCCTCTTCTTTATCCTAGCCGCAGCACAAGCACGGAATCTGCCATCTTCTCCAAGACGTTGTACGGGCGTACGGAGCATGTAGGGAGGCGGAGGCAGTGGAGATAGGGTCGGGAAAAGCCAACGCGCATAGCGCCTCGCCTCCGGCGTTGTCGCCCGCATGCTTCGACGCTTTTCTCGCCCCAAAGAGGCAGAGCGGGCGAACCTGGTGCGGGGCGAAGCGCGAAGCCAAATACCACAGCGTATCTGTTGCCGTGTCTTATAATCCGTTTTTTTTTTTTTTTTTTTTTGTCTTTTAAGTCTAAACAGTCACAACACAAATCAGTCGAAACAGTATTTCAGCAAAACGAACGAGGCAGACTCGTTATCAGATCGCTTACTTCCACGGTGAACAAGCCACGAAGATGAATGATGAATCCAACCAAAGCAAGAACTCATGGAGGAACCCTGACATGATGAATCCAACGCACGTTGCGTCCAGTGAATTTACGTGATTATGACTTGATTTTTTGGTTTTTGTCCACATTTATTTGTTTCCGTATGCTCGCACGTTCTAATTTTTTATCTCAACTTTTCTAATTGTATCCACAAATTAATACTTCTTCCATTACAAATTATAACGCGTTTCCGCTTTTTGATACAGTGTTTTACTGTATACTTAGATATAGTAAAGGGCGGGGCTAGCATTCGGACGTCCGAATGCAGCTAAGACGCCTACACCCGTGGCCCATCGGACACCTCTGCGCTCACACAAATCTCGCGCCAGCGATCGCGTCTGGCAGCCCACGACCCATCTCGCGCCAACGACTAAGTCCGGCCACAGGCAACCCATTCCCGCGCCTCAAACCCATCCCGGCCGCGCCCCCGCATCAAGCCCGCCGCGCTCCACCCCCGCCACGCCGCTCTCCTCCTCCCACCGCACCGCGCTCCTCCCCTCGTCGCGGCGCCATCCCGCGCCGCGTGCCCGTCCTCTGCCACGCTCTATCTCGGCCGTGCCCCTTCCCCGTCGTAATTCTCATCTCCTCTTCAACATCCGTCCGACCATTACAACATATGCAGTATATTCTTTAAACATACATGTATAGTCATTGCAACATCCAGATAAAACGCTTGCAACATGCGTCTGAAACAGCTGAAACATTTGGAATATACATTTGCAACATACGTCTGAAACATATGGAACATACACTTGAAATATACGTGTGTAGCTATTGCAACGTATGCAACACCAGATCCTTTGTGACATCCAGATAAAACACATGAAACATACAGATAAAACATAAGAAAACATACATCTGAAATACGTGAAACATATGGTTGCAAAAGTCTCGTCGACGTGGAGCTCGATGCAGGCGTGGAGTTCGATGCCATGGAGTGACGCGGATGGTAGCGCTAGTCCGGGCGCGAGGCACGAGCCTCGACAGTGGTCGCAGCAAGCGGATGATGCGAGCGGCCGCGGAGGGCGGCGCTAGTCCAGGCGGGAGGCGCGATTCCGAGCACGAGGCTCGGTGGAGGCGACGAATCCGCATCGGTGGGGCGCACGACGAGCGGGGCGGGCGACGGGAGGGGCCTGCGGGGCGCGCGTCGCGGGTGTGAGCGAGTGGTGCGAGCAGGAGCAGCGAGGTGGAGTAGGCCATGCGGAGTCAGGACGACTGGACGCATGCGCTCGAGCAATATCATATAGTAAGAGCTATGTTTTAGAAAAGTAAAACTTTTTTATAATTTAGAATAAAGAGAGTGAAACAAAAAATTTCTTTCGTTTTCCATTTCTATCCCTACCAAAAAAAAAAGGAGCGAGAGTATATTAAAAAAACATTATATACTAGAAAAATATTATTTTCCTTCGTCCGTCTTCCTTTACTATCCCCACCCCAAAGATGATATGATAGTGGAAAAAGATACAGGTGTCGGGATCACTGGTGTAGGAGTCCGGAACCAAGTATCTGCAGTATCCGCATTGAGAAGCCATATCCCTCTCCATTTTCCTCCGCCATCACCGCGGCGGGATCAGTGGTCTAACGACCAAGCCACAAGCAGCTAACCGATTCCGGGTTTCCCAGTTGAGCTCATCGCTGCTGCGCTCGCCATTGCTGCCGTGTGGAGCGGCCATGGAGCTCTGCTGCTCAGGCGTCCTAAGCGGCGCCGGCGCCTCGCGACCGGCGCCGTCGAGGACCTCAAGGCCCGGTAACACCGGGGCTCCGTCCACTGGGCTCCTGGCAGCCCCGCCGAAGCGGCGGCGAGGCGGCCGCGCCGGCTGCCGCCAGTCGGCCCCGCCAGCGCCGCCGCCCCGGGTTCACGAACGACGGCGGGCCGCGGGCGCGGCGGAGAGCGTCGTCCACATGCTCCGGTCGGCGGCCGGCCCCGCCGAGGCCCTGGAGCTCTTCACGGCCGCCGCGCGGCAGCCCACGGCGGTCCACACGACGGAGTCGTGCAACTACATGCTGGAGCTGATGCGCGCCCACGGCCGGGTCGGGGACATGGCGCAGGTGTTCGACCTAATGCAGAAGCAGATCGT